CACACACACACACACACACACACACACACACACACACACACACACACGCCTAGAGTCCACTCATTTATGCTTGCATTAATGTTTGCAGAAAAGAGCCTAATTTCAGGGCTTGCCTAAAGCATTTGGCAGAGCAGCATTAGTTCTGTCCAAATACTTTCACTGAAGGTTGTTTAACAGCTCACACTGCTGGTGGAGGGGAAAGAAATGACAAAACCAGAGCTCTAATAAGATATTAATGTAAAACAAATGTGAGAGCAAGAAAGAAATAGAGAGACAAAGACGAGAGCAAGTCACCCTCAAGGACCACATCCTTTCCTGCCAGTTGTCTGGTGTGGCGATGTGACAGCTCAACCGCACCACTTCAGGAAAAGCAAACACACAAACCGGATTTGCAGCGTTCTTCGTTTCTATGCATAACATCACAGAGGGGGTTTTCAGGAAACCACAAAAAAAACAAGAAGTCGAGGATTTTCTTCATGGTTACATGGAAGCACAAATCGATCAGCGCGAGTACTGATAATACAACAAGGTGGGAAAAGTCCAAACTTTCCATGAACATGGGATAAAAAAATGAAACACGAGCAGCGGGAAGAGGGAAGATAATGCGTTACCTGGTTATCTGAAGAGCACACTGTGTACAACGGACATAGAAGAAACCTCCACAGGGAGCCTTGGATATTGATGTCTTTGTTTCCCCAAACCAAGACTCGCAGCCCCCCTCTTGGGATAGACAAGCTAGCTCCAGGCTCATTATGATTAGCACCGTAGCATTTGTCCTCATCATTAGCTACAGGGAGCTCAAGCCAAACACTGATGATTAAAAAGCAAAGGAGGCCAGATTTGAAAAGGTCGTTTGAAGAGGTAACGATATTTTGGATGTAGACGGAGTCGATGTTTGTAAGCTGGAGGGAACTACAGAAAAGTGAATTAATATATTTTAGCCTCAACTACATCTGAGTGAATCACAGCAGTTATGGTGTTGGTGGTTAGGGAATTACAAATGTCACCGTGAGCCAGTGCCCTTCTT